GTTCATCAACTTGGAAGCTTCCTAAACCCTTCCTTTTGGGCATAATTGATTAAATCATTGGCTTCTAGTGATTAGTTCAACTTGCAGCTCCTCTCTCCTCTTGAAGGTTGGGGGTGGGACTGAAAGCTTTAACTTTCTCATCTTGATTGGTTCCCCTGGCAACCAGCCTGTATCCTTAGAGGGACTCCAAGAAGTCACCTCATTAATGTAAGCTTAGGTGTGGTTGAAAGAAGCAGTTACGAAGAAAAGACACCCATTTTCTCTTTATCACTCATACTATTTTAGAAACTGGAAACGTAACTGAATATTTATAACAAAAGATGCCCCTATAGGTTCTCTTGGGAAATTACAAAGGTTTTTGGACCTTTGTACCAAGAACTGTAGATGAAGACCGAATATATTTTATTACTTTAAATTACAATATCGCATGTAGTGATACTTGGTGAAAAGTTTTAATGTTCAAATGCCAGCCCTTTCAGCAACTAGGTGTATGACCTTAAACAAGTTTTGTTTTCTGTTCAATTTATATAAGAAATTATAAGAGAGCATTCTTTTTACAACAGATTAAGCTATATAAAAGTGTAAAGTGTGAAAGTCCTCCTCCACCATTTTACCTCAACTGAAAAGTAGAAATTGCTTTCTTTTACAGAGGTGCTGTTTTCATTGTTTAGTTTTCTAGTTCCACGAATTTGTGAAGATATTTGGACATAAATGCAATAGAATTTTTAGAACATAAATGAGATTGTGCTACACTTAACAAGTGTCTTGAAGTGGCCACATAAGATCTTGTAGTGTAAATGATCCATAGTTAATTCATTGCCGATTGATGAACACTGATTTCCCCCCCTGATTTAGGCTATTAGGAATATTTCTGCAGTTAACATTCTTACACATTTATGTTTGCAGGTACCTGCATGGATATTTTCTATATTTGGTAAGATAGATGACTAGAGGCCAAATTGCTTTGTGAAAGGGTGTATACATTTAAAATTTGCAAGTATTTTACCATATTGCCTTTGAAATTCCTGGATTTGATTTGCTGATGTTTTATTTGGCAGTTTTGCAACTTTGATTGTAATTGGCAAAAGGTCCATTGTGGATTCCTGCATATACAGAGTGGGTTGCGATACAGGACATGAACTCTAAGCTTAGGGAATTGACTTTTTGTGGTAAGCCCAAATGGGCTTGCTTTTTTTTTCCTGCTGGGAGACACTGCCCAGTCCCTCAGATATGCGCGCTGCAAACACAGTCCTGAGAAGTGTCTGGGTACAGAGCAGCCAGGGCCTTGCCTTCTTGGCACACCCTGCAGACGCATGCAGGACACTCAGAACCCCTGGCAGCTCGTGTTCCCCCCTTCCCCCCATCAGCGTTTCTTCTCTAGTTGCCTTCAGTGGTGTAAGCCAGAAGCACGTGACTCATCCTTGTCACTGCCACCTTCTTGTATTCACTTCATCACCAAATTTTATAAATTTTATCTCCTAAATACTTTTCAAAGATTTCTTTTTTTCCCTCCTACCACCTCTCCAGTCTTGTTACCTTCTACTTACACTCCTATTCTGGCCTCTTAACGATTGCCTTCTTCCAATCTCTTTTCTCTCGCTCCACTCAAGACTGATTTTGTAAAACACAGATGCACTCATGCCATCTGACTTACATAAAACATTTTATTGGTTTGAAGAGCAGCGAGGAGGTCCAGTGGCTGGAATGGCAAGTAAGGAGAGAACAGGAGATCAGGAAGGTAGTGGAAGATCAGGTTGTTTCTGGCCTGTTAGGTGGCTACTAAGATTTTGGCTTTTTTTCAGAGCCAGAGCGGAAGTCTGGAGGGTTTTAGTGACATAATTTGACGAGTTATAAAGGGATCGCTGACTGCTCTGTTGAGAATAGACGTATGGGGGAGGAAGCAAGTACAGAATCAGGGAGATGATTTAGGAGGTTATTATTACTAATCTAGTGCATGATGATGGTGTCCTATACCATGCTGGCAGGAATGGAGGCAGTAAGAAGTAGTCAGATTTTCGATGTATTTTGCAGTTGGAGCTATAGAACTTGCATTTTGCATATAGGGCATGAAAGAGATAGGAGAGGCAAGTTTGATTCTAAGGTTTTTGCCCTAGGCTACTGGATTGATGATACACCATTTACTGAAATGGGGACAGCTATAAGAGGAGCAGGTTTGGGAAGATGTGGATCAGGAACTCAGTTTTGGTCATGTTCTGTGTGAGATACTTATTAGGAGTAGACGTGCATGTTAAGAGTTGTTGGGTAGGCAGTTGAATATTAGTCTGAAGTTGAGGGGAGAGATCTGGGGGGCACATACACATTTGAAGTTGTCCCTGTATATAAGCAGATATGTGTGTGTGTGTGTATATATATATATATATATATATAATCACATATATATATGTTCACAGATATATATATGTATATAAACATATATATGTATATCTGTTCACATGCATATATATATAAACAGATATATCTGTTCACATATATATATCTTTCACATATATGTGTGTGTGTGTGTGTGTGTGTGTGTGTGTGTGTGTGTGTGTGTGTATGTATATATATAAGATTACCAAGGAGGTGATTGCAGGTGAAGAAGTCTCAAGCCCTCCCACTTCAGAGATTGATGGAATGAGGAATACCAGAAGTAATACTTGTGGCTGAGCTCTTTATATGCTTTGTATGCTGAGCTCTTTATATGCTAAGCTCTAGCCACGTTGCTTTTTATCCATTGAATATGCTAAACTCATTTCTACCTTAAGACCTTGGCACTTGTTCTACCTTCTACTTGGGAACCACTTTCCTAGATATTTATGTGACTGCTTCCCTTTTGTAATTTGTCATGAGGTCTCAACTCAAAAGTGAGTTTTACAGAGAGGCCTTCCTTGGTGACCTTAGCTAACGCAGCAAAGTGTTTGTACGGGTACTCACCCACAAATTGTGGCACCTTATCTACTTGGGGACAGTGATTCTTTTCTTTTTTAAAGTCTACTGATTCTTTGTGTTTTAATTTCTGATTATTTATTTTTTCTTTTTAAAATTATTTTTATTTATTTTTAAGTTTATTTATTTTGAAAGAGAGAAAGAGAGTGCAAGCTGAGGAAGGGCAGAGAGAGGAGAGAGAGAATCCCAAGCAGGGCTTGCAGGGCTCAACTCATGCAGGGCTCAAACTCATTTACCGTGAAGTCATGACCTGAGCTGAAATAAAGGGTTTGGGTGTTCAACCGACTGAGCCACCCAGATGCCCCTAATTTCTGATTATTAGTAAAAAGTTGAAGAAATTCTTATAGTACCTATATTGTAACTGTATAGCTTAATGAATTTTCACAAACTGAACTCACCCAATAAACAATACAAGTATCCTAGAAGAATAAACACTATTCTAGAAGCCTCTTGTTGCCCCTTTTTAGTCACTAACTCCTTTCCCCATAGTTATGGGATAGTCAGTATTTTGACTTAACACATCATATTAGTTTCAGCTGGTTTTATGTATTGTTTTGTATCTGGCTTCTTTTGCTCAAGCGTATATTTCAGTACGTAGTTCATTCATTCGCATTAGTTTCTTGTTTACATAGCTCGAGATTATATGAGATGACACCTAAAGAGTTGTGACTATCTTCAATCCCCTAGATTCATTTTGTTTGAAATAAGTTGAAGTCATGTTGTGTGAGTCCTCCAATTTTGTTTTTCTTCATTATTGATTTGGCTATTCTAGGTCTTGTGCCTTTCCATATTATAGCTCCTTTGCTTTCTTATTTAAATTTTAGAATCAGCTTGTCTATTTTTACAAAAAAAAAAACAACTAAGATTTTTATTGGATTATATTACAGTCTGTAGTTCTATTGGGGAGAATCAATGTCTCAAGATTGAGTCTTATTATTCATGAGCATGGAATGTCTTTCCATTTGTATGGATTTCTTTCATAAATATTTTATAATTTTCAGAACTTGTATGTATTTTGTGAGATTTATGTTAAGTATTTTATGGGCTTTTTTTGGTACTTTTATAAATGGTACTAATGTTTTTTAATTTATTCTGCATTTTTTTGTTATATATCATATAGAAACATAGTTGAAGTTGAACTTGGTATATTGACCTTGTATTCTGAGGCTTTGTTAAGTTAAAGTTACCTGTTAGTTTCATTAATTTTTTTAAAAAATTTTTCCTTGAGATATTCTATGTAGTGATTCAGGTTAATTATAAATAGATGGTTTTATATTGGTGTGCCTTTTATATCTGTTCCTTGGGGTGCTATCTAGGAATTTCAGTATATTTGACTAGGAGTGGTGAGAACAGACATCTTTGCCTTGTTCTTGACAATGGGAACAAAATGGTAGTTGCAGTATTTTACCATTTAGCATGATATTAGCTGTGTGTATTTTTGCCCTTCATCAGGTTGAAGAAGTTCCTTTTTATCCCTTGTTAGTTGGTCTTTTTATAAAGTCATAAATGAATGTTAGATTTTGTCATTTTTTTCTGTATCTGTTCACAAAATCACATGGTTTTCCTTTAGTTTGTTGATGTAGTGAATTATTGTTGTAATGAATTGTTGGTTATTGATTGGTTTTCAGAAGTCTCAATGAACAAGTGTTAATTTTTTTTACTACTGCTTATTAAATCCCATATCTGCCTGCCTGCCTGTCTGTCTATCTATCTGGCATATCTTTTCTCATTGGCTCTTATTGTCACGAGCATGCTGTATGTTCTACTAATTTACTTGTATGTTCTGCCCATCCTCAGTGGAATAGAAGTTCCATATTTTGTTCTCTGCTGTATCTCCAGTCCCTAGAATGTTGTCTGGAATTAAAGTAGGATTCTGTAAATATTTGTTGAATGAGTGAATATCTCCTCTCAAGGAGTTCATAGCCTAGGACAAGGGAAAGGTACACAAATGAAGTGTGATACACCTTAGGAGAACTATGAACAAAATCCTTTGGGAGCTCAAGATGGGGGAGATTAAGTTTGTGTAACAGATTTCTTTTCCTTTTTTCTATCAGATTTGAAAGAAGACACATCTAGGCAAAATGTATTCAATGATGCAGAAAATAAGAAGAATTCAATAAAAATGTGGTTTAGTCCTCGAAGTAAGAAGGTCAGATATGTTGTGACTAAAGTTTCAGTGCAAACCCAGCCTCAAGTGATAGATGATGGGAACGCTCAGCAGGCCTCAGTGTACAAATTTGTCTCTACAAGTCCTCCAACAAGTGTTCCTGAGAGGGCTAAAAAGGCTTCCACGAGGTCCAGCAAAAAACAGAAAAAGAAAACTTTAGCTGAAATCAACCAAGAATGGAATTTCGAGGCAGAAAAAGAAGATGGTGAACCTGACTCCAAAGAGGAATTTAAGGAAAAGCTGGTGTCTTTCTGTAGCCAGCCATCTGTTATCGCTAGTCCTCAGACAAATGGTGACATAGACTTACTAGCAAGTGACTCTGTAACCGAATCGGAGTGTTCTAGAAGCTTAACTGAAGTCTCCTTACCATTGGCTGAGCAAATAGAGTCTCCAGAAACAGAGAGCAGGAATGAAGACGCGACTCCCGAGAAGAATGCTTGTGTGAATCATCTTACATCTAAGCAGCCCTTGCCATCAGGTCATAATGGGCGACCTGGACGTCGCAGCAGACGGTCCAGTCCCATTTCTAAGAGATGCAGAAGCAGCATTCCTGGCACGAGTGGGCAGCAAATGCTGCTTTCAGAAAACAAACCACTGCCTGGCTGCTCTTCACCACCTCCAAGCAAACGTAAAGTTGGTGACACATTAAGGAGGAAAAACAGTAATATATCAGACGAATCCATGAGCCTTTCACCAGGTACACCACCTTCTACACTGAATAGTCCAAGTTACAGACGGATGATGTTCAGCCCTTCAGCAATGAAGCTGTCTCCCGGTAGCCTTACAGCTGTGAAAAGAAATCATAGAGGAGAGACTTTGCTTCATATTGCTTCAATTAAGGTAGGATGCTTGCTGTGAAATACAATTTTAGAATGAGACCGACTATAAGAAACAATTTCTGTGGAGCCTGTGAACAGTGACATGAGATTACTAGGATAATTAACCTGCTCATGTGATACCTCCTTTGAACCAGAGAAGCAGAATTCGTAGGGACTGTGTCCCTACCTCAGAGCAGTGGCCCCTGGGCCTGAGGAACATAATCTTATAAGAGAAAACCAGTATTTCAGTATTTCAGCTTCTCCTTTGCCAAGGGCTTTCATTTCTCTATTCCATAATGATTTTGTTCAGTTCTCACCAGTTTCTATATTCCTATATGCTTTAGGAATATAGACAGGGGCCAAGTTACTGCTGGCAACACATTGTTACCCAGCCAAAGAGCTAGGGACAGTGTGGGAGATGACAGACTTCTGTATGTTTGACACTTGTAGTGGGCACTTCCAGAATTTGCAAGGTTGAAAGATGTGGTCTGTACATTTTTCCAATGACCTGGAAATTTGATTATCAAAAATGGCTCCCGTGGTTGACCCTGAAGGAACGTGTCTGTATCCCACAGCCAGACATTTCTTTTAATAGTGTGTTCATTAAAGTTACCTCTCTTTATTTACTGCCTCAACCCTAGGGCTATGGCAGTGTTAGTTTTTTTGGAAACTAGCCCATTTGTCAGGCATGAGGTATACGTGCAAGGGTTAACCTTTGGAACTGACTCAAGAACTGCACGTAGAGGGGAGCAGTTAGCACCACAGCTTTACAGACTTTGTGATTTCATGCAAGTGTTATACGAATCAAATACAGGTGAGCTTAGTACTAAATTAAGATAGCTTTTATGATCTTTTAATAAGTTCACCAGGAGATCCTTGGGTGTTTTGCACAGATAGAGATCTTTGGAAGATCTGGAAGGAACCCATTGGAGGCCCCCGCATATAAGGCTGATGAGCATCAGGCAACATCTGGGAAGAATATGGAATAGACATTGAGTCCAGACATTCCTGTATTTTTGTATGGAGAAAGGGAAAAGCACAAAAACGAGCTTCCCCAACTGTTAGGGCTTTAATTTTATTTTTTTCCTTGCTTTATCTTCCAATAAATGATGAATATAGAGTACTCTATATCTGATACCAGTGAGGAGGGAAACTGCAACATGACTACATGCCGGTTTCTGCACACATATCCTTTGAACAACTTGAATTTTCAGTTGGTCCCTGTTATATTTATTTATTTTTTTTTGCAAAGCATTGATTTGAAAAACCAGACTATATTTTTGTCCTATTTGTTATGTAAATAATAGATATGCGAATAAGCTATTATAATCTTAACTTTATATTGCTATAAATGCTTCATAGACACAAGTAGCTAGCATAATAATGATGTTTTCATTTCTGACTAATATATAAGAATGTAGGCTGCTTTAGTTTCTACATTTTCCTTTCTGGGAATTATTTTCAGACTACCAGGCAGGATTCCATTTACATGGGTAGAGAATTTTTCTTTTAACCATATCTTTACTAATGAAGATCTCTAAGACCTAGGCCATGGTTTGACAAACTGTTTCTTAAAGGGGCAAATATTTTTAGCTTCCCAGGCCATGTAGTCTCTACAACTATTTATGTCTGCCCATAGTTCAGAAGCAGCCATAGACAATATATAAACCAATAAAAGTTGACATACAAAATCATGCATCTGGTCTACAGGCCATAGTTTGCCTACCCTTGGCCTCAGCAGTGGAAAAAAGACAAAGAATCTTAAGACAGGAAAAATAAGATGCGTCTTGTGAATTTTCTCCAGTGAAGATTGCTTCATACAAGTTTTGTCGTATAACTAGTTTACCTAGGAAGAGTCTTCTTGCCAGCATTAAAGTTACCCATTTGATTCTTTTGCACTTATCAAATACTGTTATTGTCATTAGTTGGCAGATTCTGATACAGTACATTTAAGACAAGGTAATTGATTTCTATTGTTTTTTTTTTAAATCACTGTTTAATAAGAGTGCTCTCTTTTAAAAATATGTTATGAGTTGAATGTAAACCCCCACCCAGGTTGATTTTCATAGAACAAATACGTGCGAAAAAACAGTTGATTTGTCAGTATATTTGTCTTTTTATAAGTAGTATTCATTTCATTTTCTGCTCTAATTTTCTCATTTGCGGCTGCAAATGTGTAGTAGAAAACCAAATATTGTGATCTGCTATTTTATTTTTTGTGTCCACCTACTTTAGAAAAAGATTTGAGGTGGCTCTGAAGTTAAAATACTAAAAATGGAACAAGAAACAGGGAAATAAAAGTTACTGCTGCTGAACAGAATGTAGATTTGATGACCTTTCAGGCAGCCAAGCCTAGCCCACTGAAAATAAAATCCACAGTCCTTCCTATGGTCTACACAACCCTGTATGATCCTCCTTCAGGCGTCTGCTCAAATGCCACGTCTTCAGAGAGACTTTCTCGCTTACCTAACCAAGCAGTCCTGCTTGTTTTGTTTTCTTTCAGTTATTTCCTGACATGTTTTATTTGTTTATTTATTTATTTATTTATTTATTTATTTATTTATTTATTTATTTTTAACGTTTTTATTTATTTTTGAGACAGAGAGAGACAGAGCATGAACGGGGGAGGGTCACAGAGAGAGGGAGACACAGAATCTGAAACAGGCTCCAGGCTCTGAGCTGTCAGCACAGAGCCTGACGCGAGATCATGACCTGAGCCGAAGTCGGACACTCAACCGACCAAGCCACCCAGGCACCCCATATGTTTTATTTTTTTAAGATTTATTATATTTTTTGAGTGCAAGTAAGGGAGAGGGGCAGGGGGAGAGAGACAGAATCCCAGATAGGCTCCACTCTGTGTGGGGCTCAGTCCCTTGACCTGGGATCATGACTTGAGCCAAAATCAAGAATTGGACACTTAACTGACTGAACCACCTGGGTCCCTCTATTTCCTGACATTATTATTATAGATCTCTTAGTTTCTTGCTTCTCTCTTTAGAATGAGAGCAAGAATTCTGTTTCTTCACTGTTAGATCTCCAGGATCTAGAACATTGCCTAGAACATAGCAGATGAATTTGATGAATAAATGAGCAAATTTTCCACTCAGTCATGATCTGAACCCCATTCTCCTGTCACACTGAACTTTATTTAGCCTTATGAACTATTCAGTATGTTCATTAATGCTACCAATACTTTGCACGTGTTCTTTTCTCTGATTTATATTCTTTCCTCTACATGCTTCCCTTTTCCTTCCTGGCTCTTTGTATGTAACCCTAAAAATCCAGTTTACATCCTACCTTCTTAATAAGTCTTCCTCAGGATTCCTAGAGTTAGTTTCTCCTCTATGGTGACATTATTTTGTTTGCATTTATATTCATTTAGCTTTCTGTGGTTATCCAGAATATATTCTTCATTTAAAATTTAATTTCAAAATGAGTAATAACTGCAGGTTTCAAAAATACGAATAAAAGTATTTATAGTAGAAAACCTCACTCCTGTTTCTGCCCCTAGCTGCACTATTACTGACAAGCCCTTTTTGCTTAACCACCTTGCTAGTGTGCCCTTTGTGAATTTCTTTATGTAAATATAAGCAAGTCTATTCCATATTGGTACACAGCTTTCTGTATGTTTTTATAGTAGCATTGCCTTCTGTACATTTTTATTATTTGACTAGTCCTTACTAATGGATGTCTGTTTGTTTCCATTCTTTTGCTTTTATAAACAGTGCTGTGGCAAGGAATCTTTGTTTCATATGTGACCAGGTGTATTTTTCGGATAAATTCCTAGAAGTCGACTTCTGGGTTAATGTAGAGCATCCCTTACCTTATTTACCCTGATAACCTCCATACCTGGCAATAGAAGGGTCTTGGTAAATATCCAGACTGCCTAAATTCAGGCTGCTGGATGTTAGACCACTACTATGTCACCGGCAGATACTGTTTGTACTGTCAGTTCTCAAATCCTTTTTTCCTTCAGGATCCTGGATTTACAGGTGACCCATTCTACTTTTTGGACATTCAGCCCTGTATGAATACAAACCCTACAGACCCTACAGGATTCTTCTTGAATTCCTTATTTATACTTTCATTTTATTATACTGCAGAATTTCAAGCAGAATATTCATTAATATGATGTCTGGGATATTGTGTGTATTCTCATGAACCAGAACAAATTTGAGATTCAGTTGGCTCTTTTTATTGCCCGTGTTTCTATTTGAATGTGGATGTCACCTATGGTTAAAATGCTACTGAGAACATTTTGTTATAAATATGAGATTTTATGAGAAAGTGTTACTGTGCCTAGGTAGAAACTAAGATAAACACTCATTTATTCTTCTGATTTAATTTTTGAAAACTTAGTATTTGATATTTCTCTAGACATAAAGAAAATTTTGATTTGTTATTTTATCATGTAGGATTTGTGGTTGCTGGAATTAGCCTCAGATTTCTAGCACAGATTCTTCAAATGGTAATGATTGCTCATAATTCATGCCACAGCATTGAATGTATCATGATATAGAAGGCTTCACGTTGGCATGTCATGATATATTTTTGATGCAGACAGAACGAATCATATTTTCAGGCAACTTATAAGGCATGATACACTTAACATAGCAAAGGTGATGAGGATCTCCTGGGTGGAAAGAACATCCCTTGTGAAGAGTCTCCTTCAGGGTCTGACTTTGTCATTCATCGTATTTTAAGGCAGTCACATTGTGTGAACCCCGTTTACTGCTCGTCCTTCATACCAGCTTCCTGAGAAAGTTGCAGAGGACTCCCGAGCAAACTGGCATCTATGATATTTTCAAGATTGTAATTTCTAGAACATCTCTTGGAGGCAGTATCCATTTTTCCCTCTGTCAACCACCACCTTTATAATACTGAATCTCCTTAATACCAGTAGCTTAACATTACACAGACTAGGTTGTCAGAAGCTTCTGTGAAGTTATTTTATTCAGTAAACTCTTGAAAAGCTAGGGAAATGTTTAATATATTTTAGAGCTTCATTCTGGATGACAAAAAAAAAAAAAAATTTAAACAATATCTACTTGCCAAAGGAAAAGTTCTAGGTAACTGATTAGTTCATATATGTGGAAAAGCTTAACCATTTGGGATAAGTCATCGTCATTGTAATGCCCTGTACCTTTTTTATCAAGATATTTATTCTTAATTGTATTTTAGAAGAGCTAACCTTTTTAATAAGGAAAAAAAATGTGTGTGTGTTGGAAAGTTAATTTATATTGCTGTAATATGAATGGATGTGTGAAGAATCTGTTTTTGAATGAAAGGTTAGCAATTAGAAAATTCATTGTGGCACACACGTTCCGTTTGTTTTCAGCCTTTAAGGTATTACTTGAAAATACCAAATCCATTTAAAATTTCTTGTAAGCCTTGGTAAATACTTTCCTTGGATGATTTTTTTTTTTTTTCTTGCTGTGGTTTAAGAAACTCTCAGTTACTCTTTTAAGTTGTGGAGAGTCTGAAAGTGAGTGCTTATTACTCAGAATATTTTTTTAGTGAAGAAAGTAATTTAAAGAAATTAGAAGCAAAAGTTCATTTATTTCCCAGAAACTCCATATTGGTTCAAGCTTACTCCGTTACTGTGAACTCTAATTTTCATAATTTTATTTATGTGCATGACATTAAATTTACATAAAGTAGAACAATGAAAATGTGACAAACTTTTAAGTACTAGGGAAGAGAAAGCATATTGAGTATGAAAAACAAGCAGTTTGCAAATGGGCTATATGTTCCGGGGAAGTCTAGGGGTGCTTTGTAATAGAAGACCCTTTGATAGTTTGACAAGGTTAAAAGAAAGAAAAATACCACTGGGTAGCATCTTTCCAAGAGAATCTGCTTTTAGTTTCTAAATGTCTCTGTTTCTATGTGAGTGTTCTCATGTGACTTTTCATTCCACAGTTGTATTTATATTTATGAGCTTTGTTAGGTTAATATGTTTTTGTGATTACTATGTAGAATTAGAATGGGGAAATCTTTCAGAAGGCTTTTTGTGTAGTTTTGTGTGTGGATACTTTCATGTTGAAGGTTGGAAGTATGTGTGGTTCTGGCAGTTCATCTGCCCCAATAATCATGGGATTGTTTAAAAAAATTCAAGTATCTTGACAGACATTCCTAGTTTCATTGGGAATGGACTTAAATATAGAGCAAAGGTTGCTAAATAAATGGTAATTTGTACTACTAATATAGAATTTGCACCCCTAAGAAACTGTGGGAAAATATGTTTTTACTGGAACTGGGACAATTGATTTGAAACATATATAATGTTTATTTTTTAGATCCATTAAATATTTAGGGTCATTTTGGTAATTTAGGAACTTAAAAAATATGTTGCAAATGGATTTTTTCTTAGTTTATTTTGAGAGAGAGAGAGAGAGAGCATGTGTGGTGGGAGGAGCAGAGAGAGAGAAGGTGAGAAAAAATCCCAGGCAGGCTCTGTGCTGTCGGTGCAGAACTCAACATGGGACTCTATCCCACAACCCTGGGATCATGACCTGAGCCTGGCTGGATCAAGTCATAATGCTTAACTGAGCCACCAAGGTGCCCAAGCAAATGGATTATTTATTTTTATTTTTATTTTTTAGAAAACTAAGTAAGCTACCATCTTAAGATTTGTTGTGCTTGAGAGGCAGCAGCCCAAAACAATCAAATGAAAGCAAATGTTACTGTTTTTAGGAGACTTAGTGACTTCTACATATAATCAAACCAATAGGGGAAAAACTCATTTTAGAATATTGAGGATGGGGGTGAGAGAGGAGAGATTTCCTTCTCCCTAAAGAAGCTCTTCACAAAACCAGTTGAACACCTATGTGTCATAGGTAACTTTTGCTATATGTAATTTAAAAAAAAAAAATTTTTTAAGTTTATTTCGAGAGAGAGCACAAAAAGGAGAGGGGCAGAGAGAGGGGGGGAGAGAGAGAATCCTGAGCAGGCTCCTCCCTGTCAGCGCAGAGCCTGATGCGGGGCTTGCGAGATCATGACCTGAGCGGAAACCAAGACTTGGACACTTAACCGACTGAGCCACCCAGGTGCCCCATTTGCCATATGTAATTTATTTATTCAGCCTTTTTCAGAGTAAACTCTGTCAGTAATATTTGGAGAAAATAGCCTTGCTTTTACCTAGAAAAATATCTTATAGCAAATAAGGCGAATATAAACTAAATTAATGTATTAAGGATAAATGGAGTAACTGTCGATAAAAAAACAATTTGGAAGTTTCAACTGAGTGGCCTTCTTGACCTTGATTTTGTTTTAAACAGTACTTGGAAATCATTTTAATGCATGCTCAAAAAGGATGTTTTTCACAAATGAAGTGATGAGTTTAAATACTTCATTATCATCCGTTGATTTTTGGTTAGTGCCCTTTATTTGGTATTTTGAAATGACTTTTGATAAGGGTTGCTAATCTTAGAGATTTTGAACTTGATATTCAAGGATGGACCATATGACTTCATGACTTCTTGGTACCTTAGAACAGTTCATCTATACATGACTTATTATTTATTACTCATGAGCAGTAGGCATTAGAGAAGAGATTTAAATTTGATTCTATCTTTAAGAAGACAAAATTTTAAAAATAAAACAGAACTCAAATCTCAATATCTTCTTTTTTTATTGATGATTTTTAATTTCTTTTTATTTTTTCATTCTATTAGGGCGACCTACCTTCTGTGGAATACCTCTTACAAAATGGAAGTGACCCAAATGTTAAAGACCATGCTGGATGGACACCATTGGTAGTTTTCTATTTGTTTTTTCATTCTCGTTTTATGTCTTATAGTTATTATACTGTATGCAGTTGTCTATACACTCACTCTCTTTTTAATCTGAAGAACATACATTTCACTAAGCAAGAGAAAATGATTACTTTTCATCTAGCTTTTCAATTGTGACAGGGAAGAAATTGGCTGCCTTTTCACTGACTACCTTTAGATTTAGGAATCCAGTTACACCACATTGCTGAATGTAGCTAATAACATGGACGTAACTATTGGAGCCGACATCAGGCCTCATTCTGCCACATTCCAAATTATTGGAACCAGATTTCTTGGAACAAAGAGAGGTCAGAGGGACTGGGTATAGGATTATATCATAAGGCAGTGATTCTTACTGAAGATCTATTGTAGCCTCATTTATACCCTACCGAATCGCAAATATATAGAGGCAGTAGAAATCTTTGCTTACAGTGAACATTTTTAAAAATCTGCTTATTATTACTAAAACTGCAATGTGGAGTATAGTCTGGAAAACGAATAGCACAAATACATAGGAACAAGTGCTGTGTGAGCTAATTGCATGCAATTTGAAGACAGCTATAGAAGTGTCAACAGAGGAGGTAGAAGCCCTTACCCTGTAAGCTGGAAATTTATCATAAAATTGAGAGAGTCTTATTAAGCCAGGTGTAAAAAAGGTTTAAAGTTGTAGAGAATGACTTCTCCTTGCCAAATTTTTAAGCTGGGAGGGTTTAGTCTGGATCAGAGTCACTTTGTTGTTTTTGACTCTGCAGGCTAGTTAACCTTTTCAAAGAAAGGTCAATTTTTTTTTTTTTTTTTTTTTTTTAAAGCCAGTAAGGCAAGTTGTAAAAAAGATTGGTGAGTGATTTATTCGAGCACCTGATGTCTAATTTGTGTTATTTTCTCCTGGAAATAGACCTACAGATATTTGGTGGGGTATTGCCCATTATGAATTGAATAGATGTTCTTAAAAAGCACAGTATGTCAGTGGTTTATTAGAATATAGTATAGTGGCATTTTTAACAGTTCATTAGACATAAGGAAAGATTTGCACACGAGGCATCTTTGAATGCCTTGAATGAATGCCCTGTTAACATCAGTAAGCTCTTTTTACTCTATGTTATTTGTGTTATCATCGACACCAGCCATACAGTAATCTGTAGCTTCAGCAAATAGTCTTGTCTTGTATATACTGTCTCTAGGATACTCACTTTGTGGGGTGGTTATGTATACATGCGGGTGCACCACTTAGGGTATGGCTAGGTACCTGATTTAGTAGATTCTATTCAGCCTTGGAGAATTTCACCTTTTATGCATGATCTAGTTAAATACTTTCTAAGTTTCTTGTTTTTAATTTTTTACTGTGGAACAGTTGAGGAGCTAGAGTTGGTTTATAGCTACATTTTCTTCTTAAAAAATGAGCAGTTGACTGAAGGCTCAAATAAATACCATCTTTTTCCATGAATTGCATACATCTTGATCATCATGTATGTCATCACTAAGATTGGTAATAGGGCTTTTACTCCGGGCCGACACTTATGGTCTGTATGAATATTTAGGTTAGACCAATTTACTGACTGAAGTTCACATTTATTTTTCTAAAGTGCAATTTTATTATGATATGATGCATTATTCTTCCTCATCACTTTTTTCACTTCTTATTTAATTAGCACGAAGCCTGCAACCATGGGCACCTGAAGGTGGTGGAATTGTTGCTACAGCACAAGGCGTTGGTGAACTCCGCTGGGTATCAGAATGATTCACCACTTCATGACGCTGCCAAGAATGGGCACATGGATATAGTCAAGCTCTTACTTTCTTATGGAGCCTCCAGGAATGCCGTGTAAGTTGTTCAACTTAAAACCTGGTTTTTAGTTGACTTGTGTTCTTGAGTGAAGGCTGTGAGGAAGCAAGGACTTGAATACCGAAGTTGGTGGCTGTCTTTCTTGTCTTTCACAACTGAGGTTAGACATGACCATTATATTCTGTATTTAAAATCAGCACTCATGCTCTTTTCCTTTGTGATACTGACATATTTGAGGGAGATTTGCTCCTTTAATTCAGAAACAATTGCCAAGTTAATTTTGGACAAATTCACTTACTTAGAGTCTGTAGATTGAGTCATACTTATTAATAACAAAAGAATTAGAAGCACAGAAATAACTGTTTTGTATGCTTCCCAGTATTTCAGAATTTGTTTTAAATATTCTATTTTTTTATGATTTTCCTGCATATTTAGTTAAAATATGTAAGAATTTTGATGTTGGGAAAGTGCTATTGAGTTATTTCTTAGATTTTTCACATCATTCAAATGAAGCTGTGGGTAAATTGTTTTGCAATGTCAGGGCACAGAGATGCATTCATTAGTGAATGCTGGCGGCTGCATTTTAAAATCGCTATCGTCAACAGTGTCACAAGCAATTGCCATATGTGGATTTTATATCTTTAATCTATAACTTGGTTCATGTCTCCCTATATATTATTTTATTCTTTTCAGTTAATGAGGTAGTTGAAATGGAAATAGAAGAATTGCCTCTTCATGTCCCCGTTGCTTCAATAGGTTTAGAAAGAGCACCTGAAAATCAGGCTTACTGTGGTTACAGAGGCAAATAAGAATTACAAAATGCAGAACTTCTAGGTTGTAATTTTTTTATAGCATAATTGAAAAACAAATTAATAAATAATGCAGGAATGTACCATATCTTGGTGCTGTTAGTTTTGGTAAGTGTGTCTAATATCCTTTGTGTCTATCACATGTGATGAGATAGTTGGGGCAACTCAAGGGATACATATTTTTATGTATTTTTACTTTTCCGGTTTGTGAGTGTGTGTGCGCGTGCGTGCGCGCGTGCGCGCGCGCACACACACACACATTACATATATATGTATGTATATATATATATATATGTATATACACACATGGACCTAACAGATATGACCCTCCTGGGGGGATAGCCAGCCATTTGATAAAGCAAATGGTTACTTGGGTCAGGTGAAACTGAATAGTTTCCATCCGTGGGTTCTTAAATCAGCCATGACTACTTTAATGAATGGAGCACTGGTCAGGGCGTTAGGGAATTCAGCTTTTATTTGTGACTCCATTATTGACTTTATAGCCTCAGGCAGGTTAATTTCTGTGCCTTGGTGTCCTCACCTATAAAACATGGGTGATGCCTGCTGCTTTTCTGTTTTTTTCAGAGTATAGTGAGGATTAATGAGCCAAAACACAGGGCCTGTCTTGTGGTTTGTACACCATGATTCTTCACTATACTGTGAAGCTTATTAATATACAAGGTGTGGGCATGAGACAGTGAGCCTAGTCTGCCTTCACAGGTGCCCCTCAGATAAATACGTTGTTTTTAAATAGGCTTACCTAGCGAAGTGGCAGATTTAGGTATATCTGTAGCCCAGCACCATCCAGTAGATCTTTCTGTATTGATGGAAATGCTGTATATCTGTGCTGAGCACTCAGTAGCCACTAGCCATCTGCTGCTGTTGAAGACTTAAAATGTGGCTGTTGCTACTGAGGAACTAAATTTGGAAATGTATTTTATTTTAATTGAATAGCCACATGTGCCAAGTGGCCACTGAATTGGACAGCTGGTTGATATAGTTAGGATAGTGGGGAAGAAGGATTTATTTGGGGAAAGGCTGGGAATAACATTAGGTAGAGGACGGTTAGGGAACCATGGAGAGAATGCAGCAGTAGATTGAATCTAGGGTTTAAGAGTGTGATAGCTGTTTCTAAATATTGTTATTCCTTTTTTTCCAGACTGGTTGGTGGTCATCATCCTTAAGTATTTGCTGTGTTTTTCGCTGTTTTATTTCCTAGTAGTGGTTGTTCACCTAATTGACTTCACCCGTTTCCTAACTGGTCTCCTTCTTTTCAGATGGCTTTTCTTTTGTTCATTCCCCATTACTGCAACCCAAGAACTTCAAAAAAATAAATAAATAAATAAATAAATAACACAAGTCTGGCCAAATCACTTACTAGCTTAAAACCCTTCATTGGCACCTCTTACTGTTTTTCAAAACTTCCAGACATTCATTTGTGGTGCAAGTTAGTAAGTATTTGAATGCATGAAAAGATGGTATATTTTTTCCTCTCTTTTGAAAAAGGGTCCTATGAGATGACAGCAGGAATTGCTTCCCTCTGCTCCCTAATTCACTATAAGTGTGGAGTGAAAGTCTAAAGCCATGTTTCCATAAGCTGCACCTTTGCTAGGGTGGTAGAACTGGTTTCCTACGTGCTCCCTGGGTAGAATTGTTAGTCTCTTGTCCACTGGGCATCCATAATCCATAGCATGTTACCTTTTGTGGGTTCATGGCTTTCCAAGGTAATTCCTGTAGCCTTGGTGTTTTTAAGATCTGTTTTTCTGCCAGAGTTCTATATATTGTCTTTTTGAATTAAGTACTGACAAGTGACTATAGATGAAATTCATTCCTTGACTTCCTCCATTTAAGAGGAGCATGGGGAGGGGCATGGGAACTGTATGGGCTTCTTAGTACTACTCTTTTTTTTTTTTTCCCCCTTTCTGCTGAAGTTCTTGTCTGGTAAGATGGCTCCTTAATGCCACCTTATAAGCCGTTAATATCTCAGACTCTGGAATCTGAGTTGGCAAGCATAATACTTTCTGTTGTTTTTTTTAATTTAAATTTTAGTTAATTAACATACTGTGCAATATTGGTTTCAGGAGTGCAATTCAGTGATTCATCACTCACAAGTATATTGCTTTTATTTTCTCTGCTTATTATATCTCTTTTACTCTTTTTTTTTTTTTTTTTTTTTTTTTTTTTTTTTTTTTTTTTTGAGGAATAGTTGACATACCACGTTACTTTAGTTTCGGGTGTACAACATACGGATTCAACTAGTTTGCATATTAAACTACGCTCGCCACAAGTCTAGCTGCCATCTGTCACCATATAGTGCTACTGCAGTGCCACTGACTGTATTCCCTGTGCTGTTTCCCATGTTCCCGTGACTTGCTCGTTCCATAACTGGCAGCCTGTGTGTCCCACTCCCCAACCATCAGTTTGCTTGTATCTCTTTTGCACGGAATGGAACTTTTCTCTCAATAACCAGGACTAGGAAGAAGGTTTGGAACTGGAAAGGGCAAAGGCTGTTGTTTGTCCTTTGCTTTTTATGGCTTAGTTCTTTGCTCGAAGTTGTAGGTGGGTAGGGTCTTTCTGCTTCATCTGTGTTTCTAAATGGCAGTCGTCAGCTCCGTAACATTTTGGCAGTCTTCTTCATTCCCTCAAGGTTCAAGTAGTCTGTTTTACTTAGATGCCTTCATTTCCTGGTTCTTCAGTGACATCCTGTTAGGTTTTCTCCTACTCTTGCCCTGCTCCTTTACTTCCTCATCCCCCAGTTGGTTATTTGCTCCTTCTGTTCTAGTGGAGTAAACTGATTACAGAACCATGTGACACATGCCTTCATAGGCCAGTGCACAAGATTGTGTGAAAATCTAGAGTAGGGACTGTAAGTGAGACTAGAGGAAATCATGAAAGACTTTTTAGGGGAAGGAGCACTTCTACTGAATTTTGAAGAATAGGGGGATGGGCTTTTCAGAAAGAGATGGTGGGTGTACAGCCAAGACTGCTTGTCTATTCAGTTCTAGGAGCTTCGATTAGTGACAGTAAGACTGGTATTAAAGGGACAATGATAAGAGGCTGGAGAAGGTGGCAGAGGCAGACAGAGGCATAGTGTGCCACAGAGTTCAAATGTTACTTTGGAAAGTTCTTCCTGCACATGGGCCAGGACCTCAGTGAAGAGGTGTGTGTCCAATAACCTGGAGAGGTGAGTCTGAGCTGAGGTAGTGACAGTGAGCAATGTTGGGGGTGGGGGGGGGGAGGGAGAGAATTCACTCTTTTCATCAGCGTCTTCCTTCAAGTGAAGTCTGATAAGTTAAGAAATATCTTACTAGGGTTGTGATTAAAATTGGGTAAAGGTGTGGATTATAGTGGAATTTGATTTTTCATTGAGAAACAGTGTTTCCATTTATTTGAGCCTTCTGTTACACATCTTAGTAAAGTTTTTCATCTATTTTATATGTATCTGCATTTATGCATGCACTTAACTATTAGATTTTTCTAGGCATTTGATTCTTTTGTTGCTCTGGTTAACTGGATGCTCTGTTAATAAATACAACTTGTCATTCCTGATGTATAGGGAAGCTGTTGATTTTAGTACATTTCTCTTATATCTAGCCAACACCTAATTCTAAGGATCTGATTATCATTTATCAATTCTAACTTCTTATTGCATTTGCCAGTGTTTCTGGAACAATATTATAAAATAATGGTGATAGTTGGCATACTTGTTTTATTCTCATTTTTCAAAAATATTGACTCTAGGTTTACAGTTAGTATTAAAATCAATATTAAAAAATAAAGATTCTATTTATTTTGCTATTTTTTAAGAAGACTATACCTTATTAAATGATTTTTAGCTTATAAGGAGGTGATCTTAGACCTTTTGCCTGTTGGTATCATTAATACATTTTAAAATATCTTTTTAAGTTTTATTTTATTGAGAGAGAGAGAGAGAGAGAGAGAGGGAGAATGCCAGCATGAGTTGGGGAGATGCAGAGAGAGGAGAAAGAATCCCAAGCGGGCTCCTCACTGTCAGCGCAGAGCCTGATGCGGGACTTGAACTCAGGAACCATGAGATCATGACCTGAGCCGAAGTCAGATTCTTAACTGACTGAGCCACCTAGGCACCCCTACATTTTAAAATATTAAACCATGTTGTATTTCTGTGATAAACTTAAATATACTGTGCTATTCTTTAAGCAAATACTTTACATCAGTTTGCTAGGATTTTATTTAGTATTTTTGCATTTC